GGGCCTGGGGGTGGGAGGAGTGAGCTCTTGTCGGTCATCTTTATTTACTAGTGGCAGTTTTTGGAGGAACATGCACCCATCGATTCGTGTCCGTCTGCGTGCCTGCCCTGCCTATGTGTGCGGTCAGTTTATCCATCCATCGATGGAATGATTCGTGAATGCACGTGTGTTTTGTGTTGTGTTATGTTATGTCGTTTTTTGCCATCAGTACACACTCACTGCGGGTGAGCAAAGGCTGTATGTGTACACCACCACCATGATACACTCACTCCTGTACACCACCTCTACCCTACCTGCATGTCATTCGTCGTTTCAAGCTACATGTGATGCATCCATCCATCCATCCATATGCATATGTGTTCCATGAGAGTGACCGCACCCACTCGCCCACTGCCCACTGCATCGATGTGTCCATGCCATGCGTGTTTGCTGACTGCTGGCAACTACGTGAGGTACACTACACACACACCACTACCTGCTGCATGCCTACATGAATGGCTCGTTCGTTCGTTCGTTCGTTGATTCGCTCCTTCAGTCTACGAGAGATGGCCGGTCGTTGAGCAGCGAAAAGCTACGCTCCACCAACGCCGCCACATACTAACCACAAACGTCTTGTCGGACGAGTGGCGTTGCTCCTGTCTCTGTTGTGCCGTCCAAAGACCATCCATCCATCCATCCCTCCATCGACTCCCACACACACCCTCACCGCTCGTCTACATGAGGCAATCCGACGGACACACGCCGAGACCCACGGCCTTCTCCCACGTCATAATCGACCGTCATGCCACCATCTGCATTAGGTGCATCTGCACACGTCGGCTCAGACCGCGGCGGCGAGTTGGGCGGGTGCATGTCTCCATCCGACGGAGACGCCCGCATCGACACACCCATTCCATGGCCGCTCTCATGCAGCCCTTCGCACGTGTGTGTGTGCATCGCTTCGGTGTCGATGGCAGGGCAGGGCGGTTGGGAGAGGGAGAGCTGGATGCTGCCTTGCAGATTGTCGGTGGTGGTGGAGGCGCGCTTGATTGGGTCGTCATCGTTGCTGCTGCTGCTGCTGCTGTGCTGACGGTGGTGGTGGTGGTGATGGTCGGTGCGGCTGCGCTTGAGCCACTGATGGGTGAAATCGACGCCCTTGCCGGCGCCGATTGCCGTGCGCCCCTTCTGAGACATGAGACACAGCACAACAGACGTTCGAGCATCGGCAAATCGGTCACAGATGTCATGGCGCAGCACCTCTGGGTGTGTTTTCTCGCCCGGTTCTGGTTCTCCGCCAATGCTGCTGCTGCTGCTGCTGCTGTCTTTGTTGTCTTGTGCGGCGTCGTCATCGGCTGCTTGAGTCTGACGACGGTCGCCCCCTTTTGTGCGGGTGGCGACGCACTGCACCGCGGCGGCGATGAGCGTGTCGAGTCGTTTCTCGAGGTGAACCAGCCTTCGCTTGATGTTGCGCTGGTCGCACTGCACCGCCAGCAGGTTCACTGACTTGGGCGCACCCTGCACACCAGAGAGAGACAGCGCACGTCCAAGTGTCTCTCTGTTTCTCGCTCTGGCGCACCTTGAGACGGACGCAGCCGTCGATGAACTCATCCAGACTGATCACGCCATCGCCTGACACACACACAGGGCACAGGAACCGATCGGCCGATCGGTCCTGTGCGTGTGTGCGCATGGCATACCGTTGGCGTCGAGCACGTCATAGAGCTCCTCCGCATCGACCACCTCAATTCCAACAGCCAGCAAGCGGCCGACCACCTGCACGAAGAGCCAGCAATGAGACCGTGCTTTTATGTGTGCCTCTGTCTATCATGACTTTGTCGTCTTGCAGTGCATCGAGAAAGTCGTCACGAGAGATGGCCCCGTCGCTCTGCGCCGCACACAACACACACACACATCTGCCGTCTATGGCCCAGCGGCTGACATCTCGATTGGTACATTGTGGTTCATGGTGTCGAATATGTCGTGGAGCGATTCCAGCAACGTCCGCCACTCCTCTTCCAACTTCAGGTTCACCTGATCGCAGACACCTTTGGCACATACATAGTTGTCCTTCTGGAATAAATGGCTGACTGACCTCTCGTTCGTCGTTGTTGACGGCCGAGAGAGTGCTTTCGCAGATGATGCCGATGACCAGGTTCATGATGGCGAAAGCAGTCACACTGACAAGACACAGGCAAGTGTGTTGCCGTATGTTGTCGGTGTGGGGACGTACCCGATGAAGAGGATGAAGAATGCTGCGAGCCAGGGCATCTTGGTCATGACGTGACGGACCGGCTCTGCGTAGACGTATGCTCACATCGACGAATGATGCACACCACCGCATTGCTTCTTTGTCTACCTGCCCAGTCGGCCATCGTCATGACTTGGAACAGCGTGAACCTACGCACACACACACACACACACACATACACACACACAGACCAGGCAATGTGCGCCAGTGTGTCTCTCCTTCCCAGACCTACATCGAGCGGGGCACCGTGCCCCACAGATCGCGGACCTGTGGCATATTGGTGCGCAAAGGTGTGTGTCTCCCACCCACCCACCCAGCCACCCAGCCTATGTACCTCTTCATCTCCTTCAAATTCCGACGATTGCTTGACAATCTGTGTCACACTGCCGAGCAAATGCACCCACAGAAGACACACACATGTGCACACAAACAAAGATGTACAATTGAGCTCTGTGCTGTGCTGTGCTGTCTGTGTGTGGTTACAATATGGCAGATATGTATAGGAAGAGGAACAGCAGGAGGCCCACCCACGAAAGGGTCCTCATCGACGTCACCAGGCCGCTCATCAACAACCTGCAATGCAACGCAATCGGTGGACACACGTGCACACGGACGGACCGATGCAGTCGCGTGTGTGGTTGGCGCGGCGTACCACAGCTCCTTGAAAATTCTGAAGAGCCTGACCAGTCTTGCAAGCCGAAACAGACGCACAATACGCAGAAGCGTCAACACTTGCACACACACGAACACCCAACCACAAAATCTGATCACATCCGTCAGTGCGCAGTTCGCGTACCCGAATAGCGCTTGCTGTTGTCTCCATGATCCACTGAAGGCACAGAAGGGACGCAAGCGCACACACGTGTCCATTGCGAATGGACACCCTGTCTAGCTCACCGTGAGCACCCACACATCGACAGCAGCGACCACCACCAGAAAGAAATCGAAGCCTGACACACAAACATTAAACGGACTGCTGGCAAGTAAGTGTAGAACAATCGCATTGACAGCGTACAGTTCCACGCGTCCCTGAAGTACATGTTTCGCAGCACACGATACCGCAACACAAACTCGAGAAAGAACACCGCTGCAAAGATGTTCTCCGGAGCGATTTATGACCACACAGACGATTGAGGCCTTGTACGTATGCATATGTTTGTGCTGGGTGGTCATGTCTCCTTCCTGACCTCGAGGACGAACCAATGGAGCTCTCTGGCAGACAGACGAGACACCAACCAATACCCAACACCCAATCAGACATGCACGTGTGCGTCCATGCGGATGATGCAATGCCATGTCGCGTACCGCCTGCCCTTTCCCTCCTTCATCTTTTTGCCCCAGTCCACCTCCACTCCAATTATCACCGCATTCAGCACGATCACGGCACCGAACAACACATCAAACTGCACACGATAACAACGCAAGGGCGCGTGCGGGCACACAAACAGCCTTTGGGCTGAAGGTACTTGTGTCGAGAAGGTGTGGCCGCTCTCCTGGTCTCTGAGGGACACCCAACGGCACAATGCCATCGGTAAGGTGCATGCCCCGTGCATTGCCATACCTCTCTGTTGTCCGCGGGGTCCCGTGGAAGGCCACAGAGGCCGAAAGATGGTCAGCCTGGAGCAGAAGAAAGCACACCACACACGAGGTTTAGTGTGGCCGCACGTAGTCGGTGGTGCAGACGGACAGACAGACCTCTATATGCCCCCTTTCCTCGGGCTCTCCAGCTTCTGCAGCAGCCAGTGCACTGATTGTAGTCATGATCCACCGTCAAGTCTCGTTGATGGAGACGGCCGTCTCAGCCCACAGTGCCCCCTCCAGAAAGTTTGGGCGAGTCGGACGAGAATGGCGAGAATCCGAGACAAACCCGACCCCGCCTGTTTTCGGCCTGCCATCTCCTCCACTTGGCTCCTCCTTCGTGCAGCCTTAATGCGATCAAGTATCGATGAAAACAGGACACCATGCATCTCACACATAAGACGGTCGTGTGGTCCCACGCAGTCGATTCAGCTAGTCAAGTCATGAGCGATAGAGAGCCACACAAACACAGGAAAGGCCACCCACAGGCAAAACGCGCCCTCTTCGTCCGTATACACACGGCCACCAGGCCCAGGCAGCCCTCCGCTGCCGCCAATTCTGTCGATCATTAACCCGTCTGCTCATCGTGTCTTTGCCCTGTCTGCCTCGAGCACCTTGGCAAAGAACTTGTCCACCGCCCCTGGACCCACTGCATGTGGACCGTTGAACTGGTCGAAGTCTGCTCAAACACACACGAGCATCGAGAGGTGAGGCGTCGACGGGGTGTGTGTGTGTGCCGGGTCTACCACACACGGCCCCTACGGTGGACGGCGGCCTCAACGAAGGTCCCGCCGTACCCCGCCCTACCGGGTGCTGTATCTCTCTCGCCACCGGCCCATCATTGCGGTCCGCGACGTATCCAAGTGGCAGTCCTTTCGTGACGGCGGCAGTGGATCGGGCAGCAGGCGGCGGCGTCGGCAGCAGAGCCTGCTGCAGTGGATGCGGCGGGCCATACGGGAGGCCAAGGGCGATGCCGCCATGATCACAGATAAAGGGGAGGAGGGGCAGGACACGATGGACATCGAGCGGCCAAGAGAGGAATCTGATCAACAGGGCAACATCAGGCCGAGAGGGAGAGGGAGAGGGAGAGGTGCAGCAAGCGCAAGGGCCAGAGGAGGGGCAAGGTGTGTGGTGCGGTCGGCTGCTGATAGTTGAGTGTGAGAGGGACCGTGAGGAGCTGCGTGAGAGGCAGCGGGCGGCCTTCGAGAGGAAACAGTATGGCACATGATCGATCCACACACGTGCAATTGACTGCACTGCGTGGGGAGGGATGGATGGATGGAAGTCGCGGAAGCCTCGCTTCGTAGCTAGCGCGTGGGTGATGGTGATGGTGGTGTGGGTGTGACATTGCATGAGGGACACGTTGATGAAATGAATGACCATACGCTTGTCCACTCATGCACATCCACATCAGTCAGTGACGATAAGTCAGTTGGCTAGGCTATGACAGGCTGAGAGGCAGTCAGTCAGAGACGAGGCTTGATCACCGCCAACGTCTTGTTACCTTCGTCTCTGACACACACACACACACACACACACAGAGAGAGAGAGAGAGACCATTGCGCACGTGGCCACCCCACCATCTGCGCGCACTCTGTGTGTGTGTGTGTGTGTGCGTGCACACACATGTGGTAATAGTTCGTCTGGTTTAGACGGCGCATGCCAGCCTCGAATGTGACCGCACTGAAAGGTTGCTGCCGACCTTCGTTGAGCTGCACAGAGAGAGAAAATGAGTACGCGCGCACATATATGTGGCACGTGCGTGGGGGGGGGATGGGTGTCGGTACCATGTGCAGGACTTTGGCGTAGTCGTGCCACTGGAACTCTGGCAGTTTGGCGGTCTCGAAGTCTGCAAACCTGCACACACACACACACGCCACACAGCGGAAGCAAGTGGCGTGGGGGTACGTACTTCTTGCCTGCGACACACAAGACACAATCATTTGTGCGTGTGTGTGTGTGTGTGTACGTGTGTGTGTGTCTCTCTCACGATCGGAAGCTGAAGCAAAGTCGTGATCGTCTGAGATCAGTCTGGTCTTTCGGACTGTCGTCGAGGAGAACACGTCTGCACCAGACACACACACACACACACAGAGAGAGAGAGAGAGAGTGAACCCGTCTGTTCGTCTGTCTGGGTGTCTGTCTGTCTCTGTCTGTCTGTGTCTGTCTGTCAGTGTGTTAGTGTGTGTTACCTGCATTCTTGGTGGGTCCCGCTTTCTTGGTGCTGCCCTTGCCCGTCTTGCCCTTGCCCGTCTTGCCCTTGCCCGTCTTGCCCTTGCCCGTCTTGCCCTTGCTGGCCGTCGTGCTCTTGGATGACGCCTTCACCATGGCTCGCTCACTCACACAAACTCGATCGACGGATGGCCGACAGACGGATGGGTGAGTGCCTATCGAGTGGGGCGTGCCGATGGATCAATCAGCTAATCAACAGCGCCAAACACACGGCAAAAGGAGAGCGCTTTGCTTCTGAATGATCGATCGATCGATCGATCACTGTGCTAATGTGTAAAGCGGTGTATACGTCACACCAAGCGTGTCTGTCTGTCTGTCTGTCCGTCTGTCCGTCTGCATCATGTGTGGTGCGTCTGTCAAAGCCGCCAATCCGCACACAACCCGAATCGGCAACTGGGCTCACTGATCTGCGACACGAATCGGCAACTGGTGGCTTCTCGCGCGTCGAATTGCCGCAGCGTCATGTGTGTGTAGTGAGACATCGTGCGTGTGTGGTAGTTTGTGGTAGTCTGTGGAGGAGGAGAAAGATGGGACCGTGTGGGTGTGGGTGTGGGTGTGACTTTTCATGAGGGGCACGTTGATGAATGAAAGATGCAAATGCATATTGGAAGCGTCCTATGTCTTTGGGCCACCACCACACATGGCCCAAAGACCGCGACTGTCATCTACTTCTACCAACCCACTAACTAGTTGGCTGCCTACCCCCGCATCATGATCTGCCTGTCTACACCACTGCCGCCGTCTCACATACACTTCGGTGATTGATTCATTCAGTCAGTCGTGTTTGATGGACGGCTCGAGGAGGCCTGGGCGGCCAGCATACTGGAGGATGACTGGCTGGCCTCGAGGGGCTGGATGCGCACCTTGTACATCCCCGCGCGCATCTTGCGACCCACACCGCGACCTGGTGCGTGGACACATCTGTGTCTCTCTGTCTGGTGTATGTGTGCGCGTCCGTGTACTGTTCACTCACCCCTCAGTACGATAGCGATGCGGGCGAGCAGACTGGGGTCGACACTCTTCTGCAACTGCCAGATCTCCAGTATACAGCCGATTAATATCGCTGTGTGTCCACACACACACATACACACACACGCACAGACGTCCAGGCAGACAGAGACGTGTGCGCGCGTCAATGCATCTATGTATACCAACTAGTTTGACGGTTTTTGCGTTGTCCACGACAGCGTTTCCGCTGTGTGCCTCGTCCTTGCCCGGCATATGGTCTATCACCAGCAGCAGGGCCTCGCGACGAACCAAACGCTCAACTGACAGCAGGCAGACAGGCAGATCTTGTCGCATGAAGGCATTGATTGTGTTGCGTGCCTGCCGCCCTGCCGTCCGAGCCTACCGGCCATCGTGACGAGGCCCAGAGCGGTATCCTCATAGTCGATGGCGTCAAAGAAACCCAGCAAATCTGAGCTGGCGGACACAGAAACCCACGGCATCTCCTGCCGCCCACCCCCCACCCCCTTCCTCACCCTCACACCCAACCACCTGGTGATCCGATCTGCACAACGCTGCGCCACACGTCCATCTCGCACGTCCACCCGGCCGCGTCGATGGTGCGGGACACGTCGACAGAGAACCCCAACATCTGCCGCACCTGCTCGTCGCCAACCCCTGGATCCACCGAAAACAAACACGATCCCGGTGTGCTCCCATCGCCACCTCCCTGCACCGACTGCTGCTGCTGCTGCTGGTGCTGGTGGTGGTGGTAGTAGTGCTGGTATTGGTGAAGTTGGTCTTGCTGTTGGACGTCGGTGTTGTGTTTGTTGAGTTTGTTGATGATCCTGGTGGGCCTCGAGCGGTCCGGCTCTGTCTTGATCTCTACCAGGGGCATGGGCATGGTCGGACCGTCGTTGTCCGTGGGGGGCAGCTGGTAGAGGGAGTTGCTCTTGGTGGACGATGGTGCAACGTCGTGGACGTCAGGGTGCTGGCGGTGCCTGCATACACACATGACGTACAAAGAAGCTGAATGGACGTGTGTCTGCCGGCCTGCAGTCTGCCATCTCTCACCATCGTCTGCCGCCGGCTTGGTTAACGTGTCCCTGCCACCCACAGCGCGGCCGCTTCGGTGGCAGGTGGGTCGGCATCTGCCATCAGCAGACCATCATCTTCTCACCCACCTGGTCACGCGGCGCTCCTCACCATCTCCTCGGCATCCCTGCCAGCTGGACGGGTCCTCGTCCAAACGTCGCTTCACTCTGCTCCTACTGAGCTCACGGCCACTCACAGACATTTGGCCGCTCCAAGGTGACAAACGGCCAGGAAGGAAGGCCTCGCCGCTTAGCTCGCAGGTGCAGGTCGACAGATGTGCTGAGCGTCTTCCTCTGTATCCTGTGCCACTCCGTTGTGCTGGCCTTCCCGCGACTCATTCCCGTTGCCTGCCGCACCGGCAAGCTGATCAGCAAACTCAGGACGCTGCTCTGCAGCAGCAGCAGTAGCAGCACAGCGATACCCTCTCAAGGCCTGCAGATGAACACGGGCCAGGCTTCTCCGGAGCGGCTGGAGTCGCCCTTGGTGTGGATAGATCTGGAGATGACGGGCCTCGATACGGCGAAGGACATGGTAATTGAGGCGGCTGTTTTGGTGACGGATGGGCAGCTCGAACGAGTCATCGAGGTGCGCACTGTACATGGATGGCATGGCTGACCGGAGGAGGCTTATGTAATGTGTGCGTTGTTGTGTGTGTGTTCGTTTGTTTGTTCGTTCGATGTCATTCAGGGTCCAGATCTCGTGATTCATGCCCCTGACTCGCTCCTGGACTCCATGGACGAGTGGTGCACCAACCACCATGCTGCTGCTGTTGCTGGAATGGATGGCACTCATGGCAGGTCTGACTGATAAAGTGCGCAAGTCGACGATGAGCCTTTCAGACGCCGAGGAGCAGATTCTTGCCTTCATCCGACAGTACGCCCAGGAGAGAGAGGCGCCGCTGGTGCGGTGGGCAGCCGGGGAGGGAGGGCATCGGCGGCTGGCTGCTGAATGGTCTACCTGGTCTCTCTGTGGCTTGCTGCTGTTGGTGTGTGTGTGGGTGTGTGTGCAGGCGGGCAACAGTGTGCATGTGGACAGGAGGTTTCTGGTGAAGGACATGCCCAAGCTGGAACGATACCTACACTACAGGTCACCTGGGGGGGTGAGGGACCTACCAACCGACAGACAGACAGACAGACGGACAGATGCACCAAGCGAGCCGGCCGGGCGGATGCTTACCTTGCAAGGCAGGGGTATGTCATGGCTCGTTCGGTTCGTCTGTTGATTTGTTTGCGTCTTGCTTTGCTGCAGGATTGTCGACGTGAGCACGGTGAAGGAGCTCTGCAGGAGGTGGTACCCAGGTAGGCAGGCAGGCAGGTACACACAGAGGCCTTTGATGTTCGTGTGCGCTGCGCTGCCATGCCATGGCCGGTCTCTGTGTCGCTCGCTGGTTTGTCCGTCAATAAGCAGCCCTGACTCCACCTCTGAAGAAAGGCCGACACAGAGCACTGGTACATATGCTACGCACCCACCACCAGATGTGCCACAGGCCTTTCTTTACGCGTCTGTCTGTCTGTCTGTGTGGCTGTTTTGTGCTGTGCGTGCAGGAGGACATTCGCGAGAGCATTGAAGAGCTGAAGTTCTACCGGAGCACCTTTGCATGATCCACCGTTCAAGTCATCGGATCGAGACGGCGGGCGTCTCAGCCCACAGTGCGAATCATAGCGATGGCAACACAAGCGAACACAGGTCTGTCGATGCGTGTGTGAGAGACAAGGCCTGGCCTTCATTTTTACAGAAGGCCAGGCCTTGTCTCGAAAAGTAAGTCAGTCCCCCACTCTCACGGCGTTTATGTTGCTGCGTGTGTCCACAGACGATCACTGTTCGATCATCCATATGTCATGCGGTCAAGTATCGATGAAACCATGCATCTCACACATAAGACGGTCGTGTGGTCACACGCAGTCAATTCAGTTAGTCAAGTCATGAGCGATAGAGAGCCACACAAACACAGGAAAGGCCACCCACAGGCAAAACGCGCCCTCTCCGTCCGTATACACACGGCCACCAGGCCCAGGCAGCCCTCCGCTGCCGCCAATTCTGTCGATCATTAACCCGTCTGCTCATCGTGTCTTTGCCCTGTCTGCCTCGAGCACCTTGGCAAAGAACTTGTCCACCGCCCCTGGACCCACTGCATGTGGACCGTTGAACTGGTCGAAGTCTGCTCAAACACACACGAGCATCGAGAGATGAGGCATCGACGGGGTGCGTGTGTCAGAGTGTCTCCCTTTTCCTGCCTCCCTCTCACGTACCGACTTTCAGCCCCTGTTTCTGCCAGTAGTCTCTCATCCAATGACCTGCGATAACCGGCACCACCTACACACACACACACACACACACACGAAGACATACAGATACATGAATACACATCCTAGACACGACACTTGTGTGTGCCGGCATACGTGTGGCGACCATACCTACCATGTCTGTGGTCCCGTGTGACTGCACGATGGCACACTTCTTGAGCCTCTCCCGCGCCTCGAGCGGCTTCTTGCTGATCTGCTCTGTCCACAGATCCTCGCAGATGAGGGCCGCGGAGAACAGACCTGCACCATGACCAGACGGCAGCATGAAACCCACATGTGCTGTGAGTGTGTTTGTAGCTACCGGCTACATTTGGCGGCGGCTCCATGTGGACGAGCAGGTCACCAGTAAGCATGCCACCTGCTGGTCGCATACACATTTGTGTGTGTGTGTTCAGTCGGTCTGTCTGGGTGACGTACCCTGTGAGAATCCACACACGGACCATGCATCGGGCGGCAGCGAGTAGGCCGTTGACGCCTCCTGCATCAGATCAAGCACCCGACTCCTGGCAACGTCAAGCCCTATAACCAGATACACACACACACACACACACAGAGACCGGCCGATACAAAAAGGTAACTCTTTCACCCATCTGTTTGTTGGCTCACCGGCCGGGACGTCTTTTGTGATCTCTGAGAACTGGAGGTTCATGATCTTGGCCTGCAGCCGCTGTAGGTCGATCATCCACCAGGCCCTGCTGCCGCCACCCAGATCAAGCCCACCATTGGGGATGATGCACACCTGTGTTGTGTGTGGACACCACACACGATTGGACCCTGTGTGTGCGTGTGTGTGTGATAGTGCGACTCACCCATTCAGCCGACGCGCCAATCACCCTCTCGCACACGTCTGATCTAACAAATGACAACGCACAGATCAGTGCAGCAGCACTCCCGGCCACCACGTCGCCATCCATTTATTTTGCAGACCTGAGAAGGGCGAGAGGTTCTCCTGCACGCATACACACACGCACACAGCAATAGACAGGCAGACAGACAGACAGATCAATGCAGAGCCACCCTTGTTTGTGTGTGACTCACCATGTTGGCGCCGAATCCATGGAGCACACAGACAGCCACCTTGGGGCTTGCCGAGTTGGTCCTCACGAGTGCATTCAGCTCGCCGAACTTCCTGTCGTATGAGTGGACCGTACGGCCACCGTCCAGCAGCTGCCGATAGGACCGCAGGAACTCATCCTTCTCGAGCAGCCCGCGGACGCCCTTGGACTCAACAAAGAACTTGATCTGCCACACCAAGTAGATAAAGACAACAGCACTGACTGCACCGATGGCTGCTTTGCGTGGCGTGCTGCACGTGATCTTACCTGTTTGAAGGACGCCATCTGGCGCGATGGTTGAAGTGTAGTTTTGCCGGCAGCACTCAAAGGGAAGGCAAGCAACGGATCTGCTTAAGGAAGGCGGCTCTTTGGCACCGCCTGCCTGGAGAGCCAGATCTGCCTCGCGCACCTGCGAGCTACAACAGCGATCGGAAGTTTTGCACACAGCAAGAGGAAGAGGTGAGCAACTCTCACCTCTAAGAAAGAGGAAAGCACCATTGATTCTCGTCCCTCTCCGTGTGTGACATGCTGCAGGTCTCTTTTCGCTTACCTCCTCCCCTAGATGCAGAGCACCTTGTCGTTTGCGGCCGATGGCAGGCTCCTGCTGAAACGCAAACGCCCTCCCGCCGATGCTGATAATGAAGGTGATGAGGCACGCAAGTCTGTTCGTCCTCAGCCGCAGCAGCCTGCCGCTGTAGAAGCTGACTCATCCATCGCACAGGGAGATCTGGTGGACCTGACGGACCAGCCAAGCAGCGATGATGACACCGGCGACAGGCCCGCTGCTGCTGCGGCGGCGGCGGCCGTCAACAGGGAGCGGCCTGCGGCTGGTTCGGTGTCGCTCATGAGTCGACTGAGAGCGGCCGGCAGCAGCAGCTCGGCTGACATCACCGTGACCGTCAGCCCACAGGACGGCAGCAAAGAAAGAAAGGCGGCGGCAGCGGCCACGAAGCGCACCATTCGCGCGTCAGAGCTGCCGTCAGTGGCGCCCGCAACCCTTATGCAGAATGTTTTCAGCAAGCAGGAGTGCGACAGCCTCCTGCGTGTGCTGATGGGCGAGTCGACGCGATGGCAGCAGTCGAGCTGGTGGGTGTTCAAGAAGAAACACACAACCCCGCGGCTTAGCGCCTACTACCTCCTCAACCAGGACTCACACTCGTCGGCGGCAGCAGAGGACGCACCTCATACTCAAGAACATGCGCCGACGGACATCGAGGGTCTTCGCAACGCACTGCCGCCGCTGGCCGATCTGCAGCCACTGAGGCAGAAGATCGAGGATCTCGTGCATGGCCACCGATCCACCCACCCACATCTGTACGGCCGGCTGCCTGTGGACAGGACGCCCGACGGGCAGAAGGAATGGCATGCGTCATACGTGCTGTGCAACCTGTACCGAGATGGCCAGGACTGTGTGGGTGCTCACAGCGACCACCTCACGTCACTCGGCCCCCGGCCGCTGATTGTGAGCCTTAGTTTCGGCGCGACGAGGCGGTTTCGGCTGGTGTCGCGGACTGAACCAAAGACAACCGTCACGATGATGCTCAAACATGGGGATGGTACGCGGGGAGCCAGGGGGAACACAAACAACACGGCATTTGTGTGTGTGTGTGTGTGCTGGCTCCTTCAGTGCTGTTCATGTGGCCTCCGGCACAAGAGGACTGGTAAGTCGGCACACACGCAGCACATGAACACGACACTCAACACATCTCCATGCCAAGTGTGTGTCACCCGTCTTTCTGCCTCCCTGGCTGGCTGGCTGGCTGGCTGCGTCTTGTGTGCTGCAGGACGCACGAGGTGCCGCGGATGCAGAGTCTGGCTCCTCACCCGACCTCCCGGTCGCAGCGCATCTCACTTACCTTCCGATCGCACCGACACGAGTGCTTCCAGCAGGCGCCACTGTGCCACTGCGGCAACAAGAGCATCATGAAGGCCACACACCAGGTGCCGAAACACACACACAGACAGACAGACCGACCCACCGATGGAGTGTGTATGCGTGTCTTTGTGTCTTTTTGTGTGTGTGTGTGTGTGTGTGTGTGTGTTACTTAGGGGAAGAATCGTGGTCGTTACTTCTACAGCTGCTCGCCCATTGGTGAGAAGAAGCCGTGCGGTTTCTTCCAGTGGACCGAGTGGCGGTTCGATCAGTGAGGACCGGAAGGGGGATTGCGTGCGAAGTGAGCATAATGGCATCAGCCATTGGCAGGCAGCAATGGCAGCAGCAGTAGCAGTGTCATGTGGATAGCGTGGCAGTGGGAGGGCTTTTCTTGTGTGAGTTCGTGCATGTGTGTCTGTATGTATCGATTCCTTGACGGCTTTGGTGCTGTCGCAGCCCCCTGTGTGCACACACAAGAGACTTTCACAAGACTCTTGTGTGCACACAAGAGACTGCTGCATTGCGAAGCGGCGAACGAGTCGATACCACACAAACACGCAGGTCGACAAGAATGAGAGACTTCAGCCATTCGTAAATTTATGGACCACCGCTTTTCCACCGCTTCTTTTCCAGCCATGGGGCTGTGGGGCTTCTCTTCAGCCTTCCTTCTGCAGGGGGCATGGTTCCGCTGGGGCTTCGAATCCTTCCTCATCCGCAGTATTTTCGGCTCCCTCTTCCTCATCTGCGTTGGCGGCCGCCTCGCCATCCCCCCATACCAAAGGACCTTCATGAGCCTGTCTGTCGCCAGACTGCTGGGGTGCATGCAGAGCTGGAACCTTGTGACAAGCCGCACTGCTGCGTGCGAACTCCACATTCGGCTGGACAAGGACCCTGCTGCTGTGGTAGGTGAGATGCTGGCCGCCAACGCCATCCCCATCCTCGTGGGGCTGCTCACCCACGGCCCCACCGGTATGGTTACCGACCGCGTCATCACTTTCCTCCTCTACATCGCCCACTCGTCTGAAGCAGCCTGCAGAGCCATTCGGCACGCTGGCGCCATCGAGCCGCTGCTGGATATACTGCGTTGGTTGTGCGACAATCCCAACAGCCGGGCCCAGCTTCTGGAGAATGGCACCAGCCTGCTGATGCTCATTGTACGCACCCCCCAACCTCTGCAACAGGCATTGCCGATCGCGCATGTGCTCGTGGCGCTCATCAACACCGCTGACCAGCCGGTGTCGGTCCTGTGTCCGGCGCTCCTGGCCCTCAGCATCCTGACGCAGTTCTCACGTGAAGCTATCGTTCAGGTGGTGTCTGGCGTCTACCGTCGCACCTTGAGCCTCATGACCCACGAGAACCGGATGGTGGGGGTGTCGGCAATCAGGATTGCCCGATGTTTGATCCAAGGTACGACCATGCAGGCTCAGAATCACGAGTAGTCCGCTGTATGTGTGTGCATGCATTCAGGTTCCATTCATGTTTCATTAGCGATGGTTTCCGAGCACATGGCCGACATGTGCTTGCTGCTGTTGTCGGATGATCCGCTGGTGGCGATAGAAGCGAGCACCACAGTCAACGCAATCGTAGCTGAAGGTACGTAAGGGTTGCAGCCTGCCGCCTTTCTTTCTTTGTGTGAGGATGGATGGCTGGACTGCAGGCGCTTATGGTGGCATTCAGGCGGTCATCGAGGGCGGCGTGGTGCCTGTGCTGGTCCAGAGGCTGGCCGCAGGTGACGCAGATGACGAGACGAGGGCGGAAATGGCGTTCGCCTTCCACGAGATAGCGGCGAACGGGAGGCAGGCCCAGGTGAGCAGAGCCGAGGAAAGGCGGCATGGCATGCAGAATTCCTCGAGTGTATATTGTATTGTCATTTGAAGGCCGAGTACGGGGTTGAGTGTGGGTGTGTAGGTCCCCTGTGCAGCATGCTGGCAAGCTACCACCTACAGGCTGCCCGTATAGCGCTGATGAGTGTCGGTGCCGTGTTGGGGTCAGAGAAAGAAGCGGCAGGACGTGTCATCGATTGAGTACTCAATCTTCCTGTGTGTGCCATATACATATATCAGTGTTGGCGTGAACAAGCAGATCATCGAGGGTCTCCCCGAGAACCCCTACTGCGCGCTGGTCGAGCAGGTCGGCAGCTCTACAACAAAAACAGATCAAGAGAGAGGAAGTTCTGCGGTGATTTATGCGTCTCATGCCGCAGGCTGGCGGCGTGGCCGCGCTGCAGCAACTACTGACCCACGGCATGCCCGAGTTGGCACTACTGGTCGGCCAGAACATTGACATACATGCGCTTTTTCCATCTGTGTCTCTGTGCGTTTGGTGGATGGACTATGCAGTCTCGTATGATCCTCGATATCCACTCTCTTGCCGCCGCTGCCGCTCCTCATAACTTCCCTGAGCATGTGGCGGGCCTACCTGACACAGACGAGGTCGCCACCAACGTGAGCGACGACCTGTCTGAGCCCGAGGAATAAACATAGACAGACACAGATAGCAGCCTGACCGACTGTGAATGAATGAATGGGGGCCGGGTGTATGCGTGTGTATATGTGTGTCCCTTGATGCCTTGACTAGTATGTGTGTGTGTGTGTGTGTGTGTGGTTTGTTGCTTTTTGGCGGTCTAGGGTACATGCATGGCTGCCTGCGTCCATGCTGTGATGTGTGTACAGGCGTGATGGGTAGGTGGGAGGCACACACGTGTGGATAGCTGTAAAGAACACGACACACACGGAACACTGCAGTGTATACCACATCAACTTGAGCGCGACGATGAATTGTGTCCCATCAATGTATTGATGGCCATGAAACGCCGAGTGTACAGCTGAGGTCATGACACAGACACATACGCACACACAGAGGGAGAGAGAGAGAGACCAGGACAGAGAGACTAGCGAGCTGTCCATCGCCTGCTGACGACGGCTCACACATGAACTGACTGACCTATATCGTAAACTGGGCACACCACAAGCTGCCTGCCTGCCTCCCTCCCTCCCTCAGTTCACGTCTTCTTGGCCGCCCCGCCTCCCTCTGTGAGAGCATGATAGCCATGCATCAAGGCCAGCAGCGCAAAGGCGCTCGCCCCGCTCACATCCTCGCTGCTCTTGGTCACAAACAGCGCCCTCAAACACACCCCCAGCGACAGCAGACAAAACACACAGTAAGCACCGCTGATCCGCCGCTTGATACCGAGAGATATCAGCGACTCGCTGTTCTTCGCGAAGGTGAAAAATAGCACCGACTGGGTCATCAGCAAAGCGCCATATAGCATGGACAACTCGGTCATTTGGTGGTGCTCGTGACTGTCTGCGGGCGCGTTGGCTTTGCCGAGGGCCACGAAGAGCGAGGGTGCCAAGAAGGCGAAGCCGCCGAAGGCGGCAGCTATGACACCGTGCTGCAGCAGGCAGATCAGCAACGAAATGCATTCATCCATCGCCTCTGTTGTCCATCCATGTGTGTGCAGATCTCACCGTGTAGTACGAGTAGCGGACTTCTCTCAAAAAGGCAATCATGGCTGCCCACCTGCTCCCACCTTAGCAGTGGCCGCAAGAGCACCAGATCTCTCACAAGCGCTTTTATGGACAGAGCATCTGCCCTCAGGGGCCGGGACCTCGGTGTCCGTTAACGAACGAACGAACGAACGAACCTCACAAGCAGCGATCTTAGCTCGCAGACCTCCCCGCCAGTGAAACCGTTCCTCGTCCGTGGAAGGCATCGGCTTTGCGTGCAGGAGTGATAGTAGAAGATGCAAACCACGATGAAGAGAGATCAGCTGAAGATGCGGTGCTCGGCACCGGCGTTCCCTCGCCTGATGGCCTCATTCATCTTTACTCTGCCTGCGTGTGTCCGCGGACACGTCCACCTATCTTTCCTCTCCGTCCCGTCGTCAACTGCCCTCAGGCGGCCTGTCGATGTGACCTTCTTGACCCGTGCATCGATGGCCGCCAATGGTGGCGATGCAGATGTGGAGTGGGACAAGGTGCCTTATCAAGATGCCCGACGTGCCGAGAAGGTGGCCATTCCGATGGACGATGAAGATCTGGTGGCGAACGCCGCGAAACTCGAAAGGTTAGGTGCCGATGTGGATGCGCGCACCGTCATGATGTGTGGTGCGCTGCCCATGCAGGCGGAAATCTGCGCGTGAGTTGAGCATCGAGGCGGATCTGCAGCAAGCTGTCAATGATGCGTTTGAGAATGATTGGGAGCCAGCCGGGGTGCAGGAGAGCCTCGAGGGATCTACAGGTGAATGCATTCACCGCTGATACAGACAAACATTGCAGAAAAAGGGGATACAATGGATGTGTTTGGCTCTGCCTGCTGGTCTGCGTGGCTGTGTGCCGTTGTGCAGTGAGGCGGCGCTTCCGCCAGGTGTTTGAGCGGAACGATGGTCTCGGCAATGCCTACTACTCGTTCGTCAACGATGGCAGGGGCGCTTTCTTCACAGCCGGGCTGACCAGAGAGAGCCAGTAAGCGTCCAACCATGCACACACACCCCAAAGCATCCACAGGCAGGGAGGGAGGGATGGAGGCCGCCAACTGAATTTTGTGTTCCTTCCGTGTGTGCCTCCCTGTGTGTGTGCAGTGAGTCGCCCCGCGGCTTGGCAGGCGACTGGGAAGAGATGGACTATTGCTATCTATCGCTAGAAGGGCTGAGAACCGACAGGCTGTGGCACGCCACACTCGCCTCGGTCTTTGGGTTCGACGCCAAGGACAAGATACTGCCGGGTCACCTCAATCGCGTCGAGGACATGATGCTGTCCTATGACCCCTCCTCACAATACGTCCTGGCCGTGTGGAACGACGGTAAGCATGAAGGCGGAAACATACCAGCATCCTTTTATGGCGGAGCGACCATGGTGTGTCTGCCTGTGTCTGCACTGCAGGTGTGCTGAGTGGGCGTATTGAGGACTGCTACGGCTCCACACCGAAGGAGATCTATGACCAGCAGCAGCTGTCCAGGCCGGCTCAGTCGGCCACAGCCGATGCAGATGACCCCGACCGGCCTCTGCCGCGCATCCCGGCCAAGATGAAGGCAGAGATCATCAAATACATACGAGAGCAGGGCGTGCAAGTGGTGGATGACGACCCGCAAGATGATGATAACAGACAGGGGAGGGCCGAGCCAATGCGTGCTGCAAAGGGGCGTGGGGGTGGGGCGGGGAAGGGAGAGAGCCCGCCGTCTGTCGATCTGCGTGGGGAGTCTAGGGCTCTCGATGATCCCCCACCGGCGAAGAGGAACAAGCTCCGATCTGTGTGGGACGACTGACTGGCTTGGGGTGGTTTTATCGATAACTGTACGATACGATAGCGGACCACTGGCAGACACCTGGTCTCTTGTTAACGTAGTCATTGCACGTGTCCGAATATCCATCGATGGACATTGACTTGAAGGCTCAGAGGGTCAGTCAAAACCTATCGTTTGTAGTCATGAGTCGTTCATTTGCGTCGATTGCCGAATCAAGCGATGCCCAAAGAGCCACAGACAGGCAGGATGGTTGATGAATCCACAGCCAGCCAACAGACAGCCTTCTGCCTGCCGGCCTGCCCGTCTCTCTGCACACGCACACCCAGAGCTGACTCGCTACCTGACTGCCCGTCTGCCCGCATCCTTGACTCACGCATGCGACCGACACGACTGGTTCCTCTCTGACTGACAGAGTGCAGCACGCATTACACGCACAGGCACATACGCACGAGTGGGCAGTCGCAGACCTCTCAGACGGTTCCTGGCAGACACACGTGCGAGTATCCATGGGATGGAGGCATAAAAGAATGTACTCAGACACGGCGCTATCTTATAAAACGTCGACAGCTGGTGCCCACGCGATCGCCGAACCACACACTGGCACCTGACAAAAAAGGCAGACGACACACGTGGACAGCAATCCACACACACACACACACACACAGCGAGGATGGCTGACGAAAGCCTCTTTCCTGCCTGCCTCTCTCACGGCACACACTCAAACCTGACTCGCTTCGCATCGTGCATTCATGCATATAAAAACCTGTCTTTCGGTGTGGCCTCCTCTGTGGTCAAACTCGCAGGCATGCATTCGGTGATGAAACACTCACAGAAATGGGAGCCAAGTAAACAAAACCCACAACACGCACTTGCGCACAGCCATTCATGCACGCCGAAGAGGACAGTCAAAACAGCCAGACAACAGGTGGCACGGAGGCACGGATGGGAGGACGCACACACTCAGACACACGCATATATAAAAGCCATCCTACATCTGTCTTGACAGCAGGTATGACAAACAGTCCGCCATGCATCCGTCCGTACACAAAGACCGAAACAATAAATACCGTCTGGTCGTTGCTTTGGTTCGTGTGTCTCTCTGACGGCATATGCATCCTATCTTTCTCTTGCATTCGATTCAACACAGACAGCTGTGTTGGTCTGTCCTTCACGCATGCCCATCTACCCAAGAGATGGCCAGGGAGAAAGGCAGAAAACACATATAGACAGGAAACCACACATCTAGCCGACCCCACACAGACGCCCTTCCTGCCTGGCTGCGTGCTTTCGTGTCTGTGCATGTCAACAATGATGAACTCGCAGACGGACAGACAGACAGACAGACCAATACTCGGAAAACCAAACGTACATAGCAACATACACTCAAGTCACAGCAAAAAAGCTGTATGCACGCACATTCCCTTCATCCATGTGTCTGTCTACGTACCTACATGCGCAACTAACCACTGCCTGTCCTCATAGCGAGAGCCAGCCCATTGCTGCGAGGCACAGAGGCGAGCACTTACGCACACGAGGCCTGCCTCTTTTGCTGATCGCAAAACGATGCCTGCTTGCCTGCCTGCCTGCCTGTCTGGAGCAGCTGTGTCTTTCGTCAACACAATAATGGATGCAGCCATCGATCAGACGACACACACACATACATACATACATACATAAATAACCTACATACATAACCTACACACATACGCTTTCTATGTAAGGAAAGATCGCTTTCTTCATACACACACACGAAACAAGCAATCCGTCGCACACAACACCATCCATCGAAGGATCCGTGGCGGTACTTTTTCCCCCTACACGCAGCATGAATGCAGAAACAGCGGGAGAGCACAAAGGTGAACGAAGCAGTCAGCCACCACCATCAGCTGCTGGCAGAACCTGTCAGTGCGTGCACACGAAAGAAAATGACAGCAGATATCAGCACGCATCATCGATGGACATGTGCACTGTGTCCGCATTGTATACTCACCTGCCTGGTCGCTTGCAAGCCCGCTAATGCGGGTTCCTCGTATAGAGGTAGAAGCCGACCCAGGGGATGTGGTGGTTCGGCAATGGCACCTCCTTCTCATACGTGCACTCATAGAACTCAGGCCAGTCCACTGATTGTTGCAGAGAAGGAAAGGAAGCCACACGTACAAATGCATATGCTGACTGCTGGTGCATGCAGCGTTTGTTGGCCTATGCTAGGTCACCTACCACATTGCTTGAAGCCGATCTCCTTGACCTCGAAGCACTTGTCCTCCATCCGCGAGCACGGCATCGGCACACTGATATCGATGAACCTATGTACGCGACACAGCACATTGGCCACAAACAGGCACGTCATGTCGTAAGAGTGTGTATGTGTGTGAGCCGTGCACACCTGGAGTAGCTGGCCACGCCACCTCGCACTTCCAAATTCGTGACAATTATCTTGTCTGCCATTTCTCGGACGTCAGGCACGGCAAGAGAGGCCGTGTCCAGGTCCATGAAGGCGTTCTCCCCTCGACGACGCATGCAGTCCTCCAGGCCGCTTGGCATCTGATTCTCGGGAATTGACTCGAGGAGGGTCACGTCAAACAAGACGTCGTCGAAGTCCGTAAACAGCGTCTTGACTTGCTCAAACGCCCCAGCCACCTACCGGACAGACCAAGCACAGCCCACACGCACCGATTTAAACCCAGCTGTGTCTCGAGTGTGGCACACGCTCACGTACCTTGGTGCCTCCCTTCAGCCCCTCCACCATCGACGGCAGGTCGGGCGCCCGGCCGCTTGAAATGGCCTCGGCAATAGTCTCCCTATAGTTCATCAGCTTGTAAAGGTCCTTGGCGGCCTGCAGTGCGTCCAGAACTGCAGGGACGGTGTCCATGAGTGTCGTCAGTCTCTCGATCTTGGCAGCCATCTCGTTCAGCTGGGCGATGGAGGACTGCTCTACACTGCTTTGGGTCTCGCTGGTACATGCTTCAAGGTCTGCACGGGTCTTGCGAAGGAGCTGGGGGACCCTCTCGAGGACGTTCATGCGATCGGTCACAGCTGACGTGACAGTGTTGATCCGATCGACGATGTCGTCTTTGAGAGCCACAAACTCATCAGCCAATCGGTCAGCAGAATTCTCCTGCAATGCAGCACACGCGAAGCATCGTGTGTGTGAATCTGGGATTATGTCAGGCGTGAATGTGGTGTGTGTGTACCAGATAGAGGCGGAATTCGTTGATCAGTTGGTCACATGTGGAGCCCGTGGCTACGCAGGCAGCACCGAGTCCAACGATCTGCACACACATACACACAAACTTTCTCCCTGCTGACAGGACACGCGAGATCCGGCTGACATCAGTGGCCTCACGCACCTTCTGGTAGAAGGCCAAGTCGATCTCCTCCAGCTCGGCGACGCGACTCACTGTAGCACCGCGAGAGTCTCGGATCTCAGCCAGGACATTGTCCTTGTCCGGCTCTTGCACGTTCAACCCCAGGTCGATCAGACAGTTCTGCACCTTGAGACCCGACTGCACACACACACACACACACACACACACACAAGACAGAGAGAGAGAGTGAGATACACGCACAAATTCCCTTTCTCGCCTCCATTCATGTGCCTACTGTGAGAGCGGCAGAGACCGCCTCGTTATGGTCGACGCTTTCGAAGGAGTTCTGCAGCCCCTCTCGCAGAATCTCATCAGCCAATTCGAAGCACTCGCAGCTCGCCTCGAGAGTCCTCGTCACATCGCCACCAATCATCGAACTGAGGGACTTTTCGTCCCACTTGATCGACGCACCCTTGGGCACCTTATTCTCTACGTACACACAGCCAGAGCGCACAGTCGCCCGCATTCCATACTCGCCTGCCTGTCTCTGGCCTGTTGCAAGCCCGCTTACCGCATGTATCCACGACGGGAGCCAGCCTCCGAAATGGGTTGAATCGGTCAACGGCCTCCTGGACCCCCTGAGCGGCTCCTTCAGCAGCATTCTGGACCCCCTGAGCAGCTCCTTCAGCAGCATCCTGGACCCCCTGAGCGGCTCCTTCAGCAGCATCCTGGACCCCCTGAGCGGCTCCTTCAGCAGCATCCTGGGCCCCTTGTCTTGCTCGTTCAGCAGCATCCTGGACCCCCTCCGCGGCGTCGTTGACGATGTCGGTGTTGATGCAGGGTGTTCTTATGGTTTGGTAGTCGATGTCGAGTCCAGTCGGAATTCTGATGCTCGAGCTCAGGTACTTCACAGCCTCCGAGCAGATGCTGCCGATCGCTGCACATGGACGGTCAAAGGCGCCACACACACACGCACACATACACACACACAGTGTGCGAATCAAGGCGTGTCGTCTTGTGCGTGCGTATCGGCTTTGACCTCACCTTGTGCCTGTGTGCGACGACGCACCTGACTCAGCAAGTTCGTGTCCCTCCCTGCCAGCCAGACACACACGCAACAACACACAGACGACGACATAGCAGATCTATGCATTCTGCACTGCAGGTGCGTGCCGCCCTCCTGTGTGTGCTCCGTCCGGCCTTCTACGCGTACCTTGGCCATAGGCCGAGGCGAGCAAGGCAAGCGCCAATACCAAGCTCTTGAGCGCCATTGACTCAGTCAACTCTCACGGACTGTTACAGTACTGCAGCAGATTGAGCCAGCTTCAATGAAATGTAGAGAAGGGGTCAGTGAACAATGAGGGAGGGAGGGAGAGAGTCTTGAGAGGAGACAAACAGAGGGAGAAGACGCGTTCTTCTCTCTCTCTCCGATCTGTGAGGTTAACGAACGAATGAACGAACAATCTGTCCCGGTTTCGCATAGGGCGAACCGTTGGCATCGGTCGAGGTGAACCGTTGGCATCGGTTCTGGGAGAGGGAGCGCAGATCTCACGTCTCTATGAGGTAGAGCGACATCCTTCGTGAAACGTTTGAACCCGTTTTCCCTTCCCTCCCGTCGATGGCATCCCCAAAGATTCCAAGGCTGAATTTGACCTTCGCGTCGACAGACAAGCCGACCTCGCCCTCAAACCTGGCACCCCTGCCATCTTCGCGGCCGTCCATCCTCTTCGCAACGATATCTCAGGACACAGAGGGGCTGAGCAAGATCATCGGCGCCCTCCAGGTGAAATGCACTCTGGCATGGCTCTCATTGTAGCTACAATGTGTCGGATGCCTCTTTCTCTCGTCAGGATTTCGATGCGCTACTGACGCAGCTCAAGGGCAAAAAGCACCATGACGATTCGTCCAGCCCCAACTGGAGGCCGTCACGCTTGTTGTAAGTCTGGACAAGGCAGACTGACTGATGGGCATCTGTACGTGTTGTTCTGGTTCTTCAGGCTCGCTTCGGATCTGCAGAATCTCAGACAACAGATCAACTCATTCATGGTGAGAATCAGGAGAAAGAGAGACGGGCGGGGCAGACACGTGCAATCTGTTGTCTGTTTGCGTCGCATGCAGGAGGAGTCCCGCCAGGCCGTGGGAGGGCTGTCCACAGCCCGCGAGGTGCTCAAAAAGTCCCCCCGCGTCCCACACCACTTCAACCTCAGCTCCTCGTCGGGCATGTCATCAGCACGCACCCCAGCAGCAGCATCAGCAACATCAGCCGCCCTCGGCGACATGGAGAGGCTCCGGGCCATCCGGCCTTCCGAGGCCGACGCCATCCCGATGACTCGTGCCGGTCTCAGGCACTACCAATCCATCTTTGCCTCTCTTGCAAGCGAATTCAAGTCGATATGTGCGAAGCTGCCGCCGATGGACGGCGAGAGGCAAGACGCGACGAATGGTACTGGTGATGATAGCGAAGGCGACAGCAACGATGGTACTGAAGCGGGAGACGACGTGGCATCCGTGGACATTGAGAGATTGGAGGCCAAGTTCAACAAGCTGCAAGAGTGAGAAGGAGAGACACGGTTCCCTGCGATTTCGTCTCTCATTCGCGTGTTCACTCCATGCACAGGCTGGCGTCTCTCCTGAACGACCGGCTCGCAGCCTACTCCCCTCCCCCGTCAGACCGACCAAACGGAGGTCCCGCTGCTGCTGGTGGCGCCGGGAGGCGATCCAAAGACCTCTCATCCAGCGGCAGCAGCGCCAACGACGGCGAGTCCGACTACTCCTTCCCCACACCGCCCGAGCCGCCCAGCCCACACGCAGCAGACGAGGACCAAGATCAGGAGCGGATGGACATCATCATCGACAACGACTCTTTCTCCCCCTCCCACTCAGACAACACCGGTGTGCGCCACGTGCGGGCGTGTCTTGTGGTGCCGGGGAGGGGGCACACCGACCCGGGCCTGCCATTCAGGCAGCGACGGAGCGTCGGCAGTGTCGTGGAGGTGCATGAGCAGGAGCAGGAGCATGAAAACGACGCCAGGCGGGAGAAAAAAAGAATGGAAGGCACGGCTCATGCAGTAGGTGTTGGTGGTCAGGAGGCGGTAAGGCAGAAAGGAGAAAGGCGGAAAGGTGCGTTGGCAAGAAGAGAGAGGGGGAGGGGAAGTGGGCGGGGTCGGGGGCAGAAGCGACACAAGGGTGTGATAGAGCTGCTGGTTCGGGTGACGGCCCAGTGGCTGGAGAGAAGCAGAGTGAGAGACTGACTGACCGCGAATTCTCTATCTGTTGTTTTCCGTGCCGTATTTTTTTGACACAACGGTCGCAGACATGGTGCATGTCTGTGGATGCAGGAATGTGACCTTCACACGGACAGACAGAGAGATGCCACCGTCCCATCCATACATCCATCCATCCACTCACTGACGCATTCACACACGGCCAGGGCCATGGATGTAGGCAGGCATCACGCATGTAAAAATAGCCATATATGGACCGTGCCGTATCCATTCATTCATTCATTCAGTGTTCGCAAGCGCTCGCTCTCTCTCTCTCTCTCTCTCTTTCTGTCTGTGTCTCTATGACCTAGGTCCTGACTGCCGCCCATGCTCATGCTGATATCCTTATCGACCGACCCCTTCCTCCTTGCAAGCGATCCACTCCTCCATCCGCGCGTCCATATTGTGCCCACTGTCAAGACTCGTCTGCGTGCGAGTCGTCATCCTCAATCTCAACCTGCCGCAGACAAAGGGCAGGAAGGACATTACACGTGTGGTACCGACACACACACACAAATGGATACCTCTGCGGCCTCGCCGATACTCTCCTGGGAGGCATAGTGGTGGGCCATTGGGGGCGCCTCATTGTGGGGCTGGCCGTTCTTGCCATTGTTGTGGCTGCGTATCCAGCTGTAGACCACTGACGCGACGATGCTCGCCACCAACACAGATAGCTGAATGATGATCGACAGAGGGGGGGGAGAGGGGATGAGTCTCTGGCGTCTGTTCTGTGTGTGTCTCTGTGTGTGTTGGTTCAGAGGCTGACGAGAAAGCCGGAGACGTGAGCGTTCGATACGGCCCAATAACTGCCAAGACACACACACACACACACGTGTGTGTGCAGCATGTGTGTTTGTGTTGTGCTGTGTTGTGTTGGTCGTCGCTTGGCTTACGGTGCGAGGATCAGCCTGACGCCGATGAATATGAGGATGATGCATAGCCCATACTTCAACAAGACAAAGTGGCTAATCGATGGACCACACACACACACACACACACAGGCACACAGATAGACAGGCGTCTCTCTCTCTCCCTCTCTGCGTGTGTGTGAGTGTACACGACGAGTCTGTCGATTAGGAAAAACATCGCCCGCAGGCCAAACATGGCCGCGATCTGCAAGACCACACACATGACAATGACAGCCAGGTGTCCTGTCTGTCTCTCTATCCCCCTCCCACCGTCGATGAGTACGCCAGGAACATATCAGGTATCTGCACACACAAGGAGGCCTCACACACAGACACACATTGGCCCTTTTCCTTTCTGTCTGTGTGTGGTGTGCCCCGCCCCCATCCACCGCAGCCAACTTGGCCGCCGTCGAATCCAGCTGACCAAGAGCACGCCACACACACACAAGCGGCCATCCATCGCGTGTTTGTTTCGTCCGTCACTGTGTGTGTGCGTACTGCGAAGACGAGGTCGACGGCTTCGAGGCAGCAGACGACCATGAACAGCAGCGTCACCGACAGACGGCCGGCCTCTCCCCCTGCACCTCTATCTGGTACCAGCGCCTCACTCTCAGGACCGTGCGAACTACAGGCCCACACACCCACACCCACACCCACACCCACACACACACAGAGAGAGAGAGGGAATGACGAGTGAATGCCGCCATGGTGTCTTGATGTGTGTGTGCGTACGACATGGGCGGTGTGGTGGCCCTGTCGGCGATGCTAAGGCCGGTGTGGCGGTCCGGTTCCTCCTCTGAAGTGTGTGGGTGGTGGTGGTGGCGAGGCACGCGAACAAAGAAGCTGCCATCCGCCACATAGTAGGGGAAGAAGGGCAAATGACGCTCCAAACACTGACGACATAAACACAGATAGAGAAGGAGAGGGAGGATGCCATGCCCTCTGTGTGTCCGTGCCCCACCGCCACCCCCACCCCCATCCACACTGACCTTGAGTATGGGATGTTCCTTGTGTTTCTTTGCCGGCTGTTCCTTCTTGTCCTTCTCCGTCATACCATTGGCGACCTTGGCCGCCTGCCCCTCCTTTGTTGTCAGCCCCCCCGCTCCCGCCCTGCCCCCGCCCTCCATTGTGTCGACGGTGTCTATGCTGTCCTCCTCCTCGGTGGGCGAGCGTATGAAGTCGCTCGGGTCGGTGTCGTCGTCCTGCTCCCACGCCGTGCGCATGCCCGTCCACACCAGGAAGAGGCCGAACACCAACTTGACCCAATCGAGCAGGTGGAACAGCACCTCGCCGATCGAGAATATCGCCAGGCGGAATGCAACCGCACCCTGCCAGCATACACACACACACACACACACACGCACACACGCACACACGGAGGGTGAAGCGGCAAAGAGGGCCGGGAGGGTGAACTACATACGATGATTCCGTAGAAAAGGGCCTTGTATTTCTGCGCGTTCGGCGTCTTGTACTCCTTGAACACCAGGTGGAATACAAACAGGTTGTCGAGCGACAGCACGTACTCGAGCAGAAACCCGTTGAACCACATAACGGCGTCCTCCCCGCCCCGCCAGAACCACACGAATGTGCAGAACGTCATCCCGAGGGTAACCCAAAAGCCCACCATCAGAATCGCCCGCAGCGTCGTCATCTCCCTTGAGCCAACCGTCCGATGCAGCACGAGCAAATCGAAGGCCAGCACGAGGGCAAACACGCTGAGCAGGGAGATCCAGGCCACCGGGCCATAGCTCGAGTAGAAGGGAATGAACGCCAAAGGGTTCTCGTGGCCGAAAATGTCGTTGTGCGCCAGGTCGACGCTGAGCGTTTCGAGCATCTGCCGCACGCTCATCGACCTGCTGCTGCTGCTGCTGGTGGTCCTACTGCTGCTGCTGGTATGGCTACGCGATTGCGTCAGCTGCCCATCGGCGTGGCCCATCATCGCATACGCGCTTCCAACCAATGGCTTCTTGGTTTCTGCCGGTGCTGGTGGGGCTGCTGTTGTTGGTGGTGGTGCTGGTGGTGCTGGTGGTGTGGGCGTCGTGGTGGCGGGTTTGCCACCCCACTGCGCGTGTCGTCTGCTGAGCTGCCACCGTGGGGCTTCGTCGCTAAGGTTGTTGGCGTAGAGGGGCGCGGCGAGGGCCGCCTGGGAGAGCAGCGGCAGCGCATAGGGCGAGAGGGAGAGGGCCGGCGACCCACCACCACCACCACTGGCAGAGATCTGATGGACACATCCACACACATATGGATGGCGCCATTCCACAGAGAAGTGCAGCTTCCCTTCCCCTCCTTCTCTCTCTCTGCTGACCTGTTTGGCGTCATCTCCCTTCGGCCGTGTGTGTTTCTCCTGCATGGCCACGGCAGGGCGGGCCCCGCAGACCAGCAAGAGCACGAGAACGGGCAGCAGCGGCAGGGGCGACGCCCTTGCACGGTGATGGCGGTGTGACGGTGTTGCCATGGTGCGTTATGACTGCCTTGGCCTTAGGGGGACCTACAGCGGCACGCATCTGCATCTCCACACGTGCCGGAGCCATGCCATCCTCAAATCCAAGGCGCCAGGTTGTAAACGCGATCCAAACACGAGCTTGAGGAGGGTTCCAGGGAGCAACTTCGTCTGAGATCATTCGTTTCGTTTGATCCTCTCTCGGTTGGCTCTCTCGCCTGTCTGCCGTTCTTCTGGTGGAATCTGATGCGCCTTCGGGTGTTTGAGGCGTATCGTGCTGCTTATGACAAGAGCCCTTATGCTGTGGCCTTCGCCACATGCTTTGTCAAGGTGCGGTCGCTCACACACACAACACATACAACACATACATGGACCTGAGCGCTCTGTCTGTCTGTCTGTCTGTCTGTGAGTGAGTGAGTGCAGGGTGGAGCATCCGACACACTGGCTCAGTTCAAGATTGAGAGGGCGGAGAGCTGGGACGTTCTGCGGACAGTCAAGTTCGCCTCGTTCAGCGGCCTTCAGACGGGCTGCATTCAGCACTTTTTCTACAACGTGGTGTTCACCCGAGCCTTCGGCCCTCAGCGGACGATGCTGGTGGCTGTGAGGAAGACGCTGGCCGAGTGCCTGGGGTACATTCCCTTCGTGTATATGCCCAACTACTTTATGCTCAAGAGCGTGTTCAATGGGGGCAGTTTGTCGGAGGGGCTGGGGGATTATGTGGCCGAGATCAGCGGCATCATGCCCAAGTCAGTCAGCACACCGGGAGGGAGCGTCGCCTCTGTGCGCATGGCTGCATGGTGTTGTGTGTGTGTGTGTGCGTCACTCACACACAGGTACTGGATGATATGGACGCCTGTGAACCTGCTGGTGTTCGGGCCTCTTGTCCAGCCGCAGTTTCGCATCGCTTGTGTGGCTGCTGTGTCCTTCTGCTGGTACATACAGACGCACCCACTCCATCTCTACAGCTGCATGCGACTGCAGCGTGCGTGTGTGTGTGTGTGTGTGTGCGTGTGTGCGCCGCAGGTCCGCTCTGTTGAGCTATCTGCAGCCGATGAAGGCGGGCGATGGATGATGGATGGATGATCTTTGTACTTGTTTGTAGTATACGTACTTATGTGGCCGGCAGGTGGAGCTGTGTTGTGTACAGATATATCCTTTTTGGTGGACAGCTCCTTGTTGTGCCTGTCTTATACCTTACTGTATCACTCTGTATTCCTCTGTTGTGCCTGTCTTTCTGTGGCTGTCGGTCTGTCTGTCTGTCTGTCGGTCGGTCGGTCTGTCGGTCTGTCTGTGCAAAGTGGGTGGCTGTCAGAGTCAGACAGGCCTTTTTGCCTCCACGCATGCAGGGCATGATGGCGCGTGTGTCTGTGTGCCGTTGATGCGAAGGCGAGGCCCGAAGGGCCGAGCCGAGCCGAGCGAAAGCTGCCTCGTCTGTGTCTGTCTAAGTGTGTGTGTGTGTGCCGTTGATGCGAAGGCGAGGCCTGAAGGGCCGAGCCGAGCCAAGTCATGGTGTGTGTGTGCTGAGCCTGTGTGTGTATGTGTTGTGCGAAGGCGAGGCCCGAAGGGCAGAGCCTGAGCCTGTGTGTGTGTGTGTGTGTGTTCTGTCTGAGTCTGTGTGTGTTCTCTGTGTGTGTGTGCATCAAATGGACCCCCCCACGCACCCCCACTCACCCCCACTCACCCCCACTCACCCCTGCACGCACTCACTCTCTCTCTGTGTCCATGAGTTTTTTGCCAACTTGGCGATGCCGTGGAGGGACGAGTATTGACTGTAGACCTTTACCGTAACCGATTCTGTGTGCTAACCAACACCGCCTCGCCATTCGCCCTTTCCACCCAATTGCACCTCTCACCACTTCAACGCACTCACCCCATCGATACCCCCCCTGCCGCATACCCACTTCTCACACACGCAAGGCCAGCCGCCCAACCGCCGCACACAGACAGCCCATCACACCAACAGTCATTCCCCGGCCTCCCAGCCTCCTGCGCTGGACACTCGTCGAGTTGTGTGTGTGTGAAGGTCTGGGTGCGTCTGCCGCCCACTGCTGCACACGCGCATTCACCCATTTCGCAAACCCCCCGCCTCACTAGGACTCAGATGAGCACGGCAGCGGCCTTCATGGGCACCTGCAATGGGAAAAAACCTCCCAGCCACCGGTCGCAGGGTTCCAAACCCTGCGAGCTTAGACGTGCAACAACGCTCTGCAGGAGGGCACACGAAACGCGCAGATCAGATCAGCAGCAGAGAGGCAGGAGAAGCCTGAATATGCTTCAAACAGCGGCATCTGCGTGTGTATGCGTTGCTGCAGATCTCTCGTTCGTTCACCAATTAATCTGATGCGCCTTCGGGTGTTTGAGGCGTATCGTGCTGCTTATGACAAGAGCCCTTATGCTGTGGCCTTCGCCACATGCTTTGTCAAGGTGCGGTCGCTCACACAACACATACAACACATGCATGGACCTGAGCGCTCTGTCTGTCTGTCTGTCTGTGAGTGAGTGAGTGCAGGGTGGAGCATCCGACACGCTGGCTCAGTTCAAGATTGAGAGGGCGGAGAGCTGGGACGTTCTGCGGACAGTCAAGTTCGCCTCGTTCAGCGGCCTTCAGACGGGCTGCATTCAGCACTTTTTCTACAACGTGGTGTTCACCCGAGCCTTCGGCCCTCAGCGGACGATGCTGGTGGCTGTGAGGAAGACGCTGGCCGAGTGCCTGGGGTACATTCCCTTCGTGTATATGCCCAACTACTTTATGCTCAAGAGCGTGTTCAATGGGGGCAGCAGTTTGTCAGAGGGGCTGGGGGATTATGTGGCCGAGATCAGCGGCATCATGCCCAAGTCAGTCAGCACACCGGGAGGGAGCGTCGCCTCTGTGCGCATGGCTGCAGGGTGTTGTGTGTGTGTGTGTGCGTCACTCACACACAGGTACTGGATGATTTGAACGCCTGTGAATCTGCTGGTCTTCGGGCCTCTTGTCCAGCCGCAGTTTCGCATCGCGTGTGTGGCTGCTGTGTCGTTCTGCTGGTACGTACAGACGCACCAACCCGATTCCTATCGCTGCGCTGCATGTATGTCGATTACGCATGTGTGTGTGCGTGTGGTGCCGCAGGTCCGCTCTGTTGAGCTATCTGCAGCCTATGAAGGCGGGCGATGGATGATGGATGGATGGATGATCTTTGTACTTCTTTGTAGTATACGTACTTATGTGGCCGGCAGGTGGAGCTGTGTTGTGTACAGATATACCTTTTTGGCGGATAGCTCCTCTGTTGTGCCTGTTTTTCTGTGTCGGTCGGTCGGTCTGTCGGTCGGTCGGTCGGTCTGTCGGTCTGTCGGTCTGTCTGGTCATGGATGCACTCACAGAATGAACCCCGTCATGCCCATGACGATCCACCATGGTGGGTGGAACAGGCAACCATCCTCACGGCGTCAGGTCAACAAAGACAACCTCTTCCCTTCTGTCTGTTCACGCGTAGTTCACGCCGGGGTAGCGCTGCCACAAGCAGCACACGCCCATACTCGACACACCCAAAGACCATTGTCCAGACACGGCACACAAACCATTGTCAAGAATTTTGCCACCCCGAATCAGCCCACAGACAGACTCGGCACGATTCTCCAGACCGTCTCTTCCACCCCCTCCCCCCGTCGCAACTCAACCATCACCACCCTCCGTCCCTCCACCCCTTCCACAGGCTCCTCCAACGCACTCAGCTGACTGTCAACCATCGATGCGCCCATAAAGTGGTCTTGCCGCATGGACAGCCGCTCACTCAGCAGGTCCTTGCTGGCCTTCAGATAGATAAACCCGACTGACGGCGATGCGGCGAGGGCGGCCCGGTAAGAGGCCTTCAGCGCAGAGCAGGCGAGGACGAGGCCGCTTGAGAGATGCTGATCTACCACCCCCGCCAGCCGGTGTAGCCACGGCCATCTGTCCTCATCAGCCAAGGGGATACCCTGCGTCAGTGCAAAGCGACACACAACACACACACACACACACACACAGTGCAAAACGACACAGACAGATCGAGGGCGCACTTGCTGCGGCTGGCATGGGTGGTGCTGTGGTTTCGCTACCTGTGCCATTTTGTCGACGTTGGCCTTCGTGTGGTAGTCATCGGCATCCAGGAAAGGGCACTGAAGAAAATCTGCAACGTACCTCCCGACGGATGACTTGCCGCACCCTGCACACCCCATCACAATCCACACACGCACAGGCACACGGGCAGCATCGTGATGTCCCTGCAGCATTCCCCTTTTCTCTTCTTCCTCGATCGCCTGGAGAGGATGATTAGCCTGGGAGAGATGCCGATGCGCCCATCTTCTCCAGCAGCGGTTTCAGGGAGCACCCTAGGTGGCCTGACGGCCAAGTCCCCTGTCGGTCTGTCCAACATGAAACAGGCACCCTAACATGCAACCCGGACACGAAACACGCAGCACGCAGAGGGCAGATGCAGCAGACAGGAAGATATGCAATGCGCTGCGAACGAGGGCCACATACAAGCAGGCACAGAGCGTCGCACACACGCCACCCCAGCAGCAGCTTGAAGGCGGCGTGCGTGCGTGCGTCAGGCACCATGACTCCATACGTAGATACCGCCCATCCCCAGGTGGCCAGCCAGTGCAGATCGCCCAGTCACACACAAACACGCCCTTATAACAACCACGCACGGAGTGCTGGGGGTGCATGAGAGCGCACCGCCGCCCTCTCCAGGGCGGAGAGGGGCGGCAGGTGGCCGACCCGCAGACACCCCCAGTGCACGCCCATACATATTTCACCGCCGGGATAAGTAGGAGCGCGGCAAGGCACACACACAGACCACGCCCACATCCACACGCACACCCCTACACACGCGCACACCACCCAGACACACACACACACACACACGCAGGAATACCAATACCTCACCCGCATACCCACGCCCATAGCCACACTCACACGCAGACACACACGCACTGAGCTTCCTTCACTGCCTTGCCTAGCTTGTGCAAAAAGGTCTCCATAGTCGAAGACCACCGTCCATACGACTCGAAGGCCAGAGGCAGAAACGTGTACCCTCCCCGTGCACATGCGACGGCGTATTGGTCCCTCTTGCGCTTCTCGGCCACGCGAAGGGCCGAGCCGGG